TCATCCTCGATCATAACTACACAATATAATCTCATTGTTACAAATTGTTCATCAAGAAATTACAGATCCAAGAGCCAACCACGATTTTTCAAGGTCATTTTACTTCGAAATAGAGATTTATTACAATTTTTTTCTTAAAGCTTCCTAAAAAATTGATGGCCATCATAGTCTTACACACTATCCAGCATAAATACATTATCCAAAAAGTAAAAATCTCTTTAATGGTTTTCTATTCGATGAGAAAACTTGTAACAACATTAATTTATCATACTTAAACACACCAGAACTACTATTTATAGATTGTAAACCAGTGTAATCAAGAAAAATTACAAAAATATAACTATTTAGAAATGACGTATTTACTGAGCTTACTATATAAGAAAAGCTAGCCTTTGTAAACAAGTTATCTTTCATAAATACACTCTTTGTTAACAATGCTGTGCTGAGCAGTTGGATCTGATCAGCTGCATAGTTAACAGTGAGAAGTCAACTGATCATGTAGAGATCACACAGCATTTTGGCGCAAGAAGAACAGTTGCTGCTGCCGAGCAAGGTTGCTGTGCTGAGCAGTTGGATCTGATTCAAGAACCTATATTATCCTTGGAATACCCGTACTTTGAAGTCTTTCAAGAGCACCCCCATACTCTATATCGATAGACTTGTTCACAAGTTTCAGCTACCCCAGAACAAAAATGACACTTTTTAGCCGCCGTTTTCCTCACAAAAATTTGAATTCTATTGAATTTTGCCCGCCAAATTTAAATTTACACAAAGAAATATTACTTCAATTTCTTTTATTTCTATTTGACATCTAAAAATAAATCTTTTTCATCCAAACTTTTAGGCGAAAACACTCATTTTGTAAATCAAATTTGTTTTTATTTGCTTTTGGTCATTTCTATTCGAAAAACATATATCACTCATATTTATAATAAATACTTTATTTCAAATTTGACAATATAGATATTATTCTCATATTATATTTTATCTTATATATACCTTATCTAATATGATAGCATAAATTCCCAGACTTCCTAACCCCCGTTTGCCGCGAGCATAGGCCTCAAAAGTCTGTGTAGGTCGAGGAATGAAAAATCTTCGAGGCATAACATATAACGGTTTTTTATGCCCATAAAACCATTTACTGATTTCGTAAAGAAAGATTGAAGGGGAAAAGAGGCGGTAGTATAAATATGGAAATAATAAAAAAATAAAATATGAAGAGGCGAATTTAAAAAGATTCAGTTTATGTATTTTATATAAAAAGAAACTTTAACGGTTGGACTTGGCAATGCGCTCAAGTTCGTCTTTCTTGCGGCAGGCGTATGATGTCTGGTCGTTGTTTTGAGGCGGCAATGAGCTCGTCGGCAAGGCACTCGCAATGTTGCGGGAGGAGCGGAAGGCTGCCTTACGAACACCTTCTGTGATCAAGGAGAGAGCCTGATCAATGCGGCGGAGTGGAGAGACATCGCATGCTTGGCGACGGACTGTACCACAACACCAATACGTGTGGAGTCTTCGCGAGCACCGCAGTACTGAACACCTTGACAAATGTGACAATTGGGTTCTGGCCTGTAGAGAGAGCAATGATATCAAAAGCGTGCTCAACAATGCGGATAGCAAGGAGCTTCTTGCCGGTGTTGCGGCCACGTACATGAGGTGGTTGCAAAGACGCTCAACAAGTGGGCAGAAACTTTCTGGAAGCGCTTGTGAACATAGCGACCAGCTGTGTGTGGAACCATAACATGCTGCTTCTCGTGGACTGAGATGTAGTCAACGAGGGCTGGGTCAAGCTGGCTGAAGTCGACGTCGTCGTAGGAATACTTTCCAAAGAGCTTACGTCTTGCATTCGAAAGGCCGGACCAGACGGTTTTGACATCGACACTTTTTAGCCTAAAATAATGTGTTTTTGTTGATTTTGCCTTCGAATATATAAATAAAATCAAAATATTAATCATTTATCAAATATAAATTTCTAAAAATTTTCTTTTCCAAACAAAAATCTCTTGATTAAATAATCGCTTGATCAAATAATAAACATTTGAAAATGCTGAAATCACATACAACAATGATAAAAAAGATTTTCTGTTTATCATTCAGAATGATAAAAAAAATATCACACAAACTATAATCTTTAATCAGACGGTGGAATATCTTTAATAGACTATAGACTGAACTATCTTGTTTAACTGATGATTGATCAAAAAAGAAATAAGTTTTTTTTTTGTTTGTTTTAGATATCAATCTTAGCTAACGATTTGATCTTTTATTTAATATAGATGATCATTGGTAGAAACAAGATAAAGCTGAAATTATAAATAAAACTCAATTGGTTTGTGGATGAATCTTCTCAACAATATCTTCAAGATTTTCAACTTTTCTTTCAGTGTCTTAATTGTGTTCACTAACTGCTGGTAAATCTCGTCCGAAATTGAAATCTTTGAATCGGGGACATCTTGTGGGGTGCAGGTAAAAGATAGCCTTTTTCTTCAAGGAATTTTCTAAGTTCAGGTGATTCCTTCTCGAAAAATGCAGTTGCCTTCTTGAAGATTGCTTTCGTTTTCGCCATACCAGCAGAGCTTTAATTTCTTCATCGTTATCTCTGAGAGAATTTCGATAATCTTCCTTTGCCTTATCAATTGTCTCTTTGTCGAGGTCGTAAAGGTTGACTTGATTTGTCATACCAGCTAAAAATGAACTCAAAAACTTTGACTAGATTTTTTTTTATTCTCAAAATGGAATCTTTTAATAATGACGTATTGCTGATTAAGCTGAAGATCGAAGCAAATTTCTAGACTAAAAAATACCAGTACCTACTCATGCATAACATTCGCATATATTTTATCAAAGTAAAATTCTAAATTAAATATGGCACATTATATTAAATATTCACTTTCCAATTTAAGAATGCAACCAACATTATGATATATTCATATAAAGGGTTTAAAATCTGGATCTACATCAAAACAATTTCCAATATCCTCATGATACTGAAATTGAGGTGTCACAGAATAAATGGTACCCCAGAATTATTTTTGCTTTTCCCTTGTTAAATATTTGAATGAATGAAATATTTTGAATTAGCTTAAATTATATACAAATTTATATAATAATTAAGGGTGCCTATAACGATAATGTAAACATCACAAAATTAACCTTATTAGAACTCGAATGAATGGATTATCCAGATTCTAGTTCTCAATATAATAGCCTAAAAGTGCTTTTCTGAGGGTGGTTTATCGTCTATAGGGCACCCTTAAGACATTTATTATATAACATATATGATAGATATATTTTTGTAGTACACAACTTTATACACAAGGCTTTCGATTTAAAGTTGGAAAGAATCTCATTAAAACGAGAATGATCCACAGTATTATATTCTCTCATATAATATTTCTATACTTATATTTTGCGATTTGCTCTTAGTGGGGGAGGATATTTCGGGAGTTATTTTTAATATTGCTAAAATTAGATAATGGATATTCAGAGTCTTGAGTATAGAAATAAACTACGTCAATTTCATAGCTGATAGTTTATCAGTAAGACGATATCAAAGTGATAATGAGACATACCATATCAAACTAAGTAGTTTAGGTGTCAGTTTTCGTGCAAGTTGTTGTAAACAGAAATTCATCAAAAGTGACACCTCAGAAAAGCTAAAATATTGAATTTTGAAACTTTTGATAGAGCACGTTTTTAAATATTAATTAAAGTAAATGTATATTTTTGTAAAGGATCTTTTTAATAAAAAAATAGAATTTTGAAGAAGAACACAAAATCTTCTGAAAAATAATATCACATAAACTCATATTATTTTCTAATATATAACTATTTTATATAAAAATCAAATTCAATGATCTTAAAAGCGAAGGATAAACCTCAAAATTTACGAATATAATGAGTGGGAATATAATGCTTATCTATCATAAAACCATATGAAATATCAATTTTTGCTTTACGCCTAATTTTTGACGACAATTAGCAAAAAATGTTAAATGTTAACACTCAGTCCATTTGAATATGAAAAATAAAATTGACTTTGATTAAATGTTTTTATTTATCATGCAATTCTTCTTGCGACCAAAGATTTGAATAAAACTTCAAAAATAAATAGCTTAAAAAATAATATACGGTAGTGTTTACTAATAGATGAATAGTATATAAATTCTATTAAAATGGATTTGATCCAAAAAAATATAAAACAAAAATAATGTTTATAATTTAAATGAAGAAGTAATTAAAAACGATTTTATTTATGATCAAAATTTATATATTTTTTGGATCAAATCCATTTTAATAGAATTTATATACTATTCATCTATTAGTAAACACTACCGTATATTATTTTTTAAGCTATCTTATTTTTTGAAGTTTTATTCAAATCTTTGGTCGCAAGAAGAATTGCAATGATAAATAAAAACATTTAATCAAAGTCAATTTTATTTTTCATATTCAAATGGACTGGATGTTAACATTTAACATTTTTTGCTAATTGTCGTCAAAAATTAGGCGTAAAGCAAAAATTGATATTTCATATGGTTTTATGATAGATAAGCATTATATTTCCCACTCATTATATTCGTAAATTTTGAGGTTTATCCTTCGCTTTAAGATCATTGAATTTGATTTTTATATAAAATAGTTATATATTAGAAAATAATATGAGTTTATGTGATATTATTTTTCAGAAGATTTCATTCTATATGCCTATGAAAAGTACTCTCAAAACTAACTTTTCCCTAATTATAATTAAATCTAGAATAGTGTATTATGCTTAGTATTATTTCATTTTTCTCATTCAATTTAGAATTACAAATGTCAAAAAAATGAGAGCTGTCACTTTTGATGAACTTCTGTTTATTACACAAGTAGATTTGAGAGCATGAACCAAGTTACATTAAAAATCATAAAGTGAAATCTAAGGTCATTGTTTTTTTTTCTTTTTTTAGAGGATCACATTTCATTGAGTCAAAGTTTTTGAGTTCATTTTTACTGGTATGACAAATCAAGTCAACCTTTACGACCTCGACAAAGAGACAATTGATAAGGCAAAGGAAGATTATCGAAATTCTCTCAGAGATAACGATGAAGAAATTAAAGCTCTTGCTGGTATGGCGAAAACGAAAGCAATCTTCAAGAAGGCAACTGCATTTTTCGAGAAGGAATCACCTGAACTTAGAAAATTCCTTGAAGAAAAAGGCTATCTTTTACCTGCACCACCACAAGATGTCCCCGATTCAAAGATTTCAATTTCGGACGAGATTTACCAGCAGAGTTAGTGAACACAATTAAGACACTGAAAGAAAAGTTGAAAACTCTTGAAGATATGTTGAGAAGATTCATCCCACAACCAATTGAGTTTTATTTATAATTTCAGCTTATATCTTTTCTCTACCAATGATACATCTATATTAAATAAAAGATCAAATCGTTAGCTAAGATTGATATCTAAAACAAAACAAAAAAAAACTTATTCTTTTTTGATCAATCATCAGTTAAACAAAGATAGTTCAGTCTATAGTCTATTAAGATATTCCACCGTCTGATTAAAGATTATAGTTTGGTGATATTTTTTTTTTATCATTCTGAATGATAAACAGAAAATCTTTTTTATCATGTTGTATGTGATTTCAGCATTTTCAAATTTATTATTTGATCAAGCGATTATTTAATCAAGAGATTTGTTTTTGAGGAATGAAAATTTTAGAAATTTATATTTGATAAATGATTAATATTTTGATTTTTATTTATATATTCGAAGGCAAAATCAACAAAAACACATTTATTTAGGCTAAAAAGTGTCGATGTCAAAACCGTCTGGTCCGGCCTTTCGAATGCAAGACGTAAGCTCTTTGGAAAGTATTCCTACGACGACGTCGACTTCACCAGCTGACCCAGCCCTCGTTGACTACATCTCAGTCCACGAGAAGCAGCATGTTATGGTTCCACACACAGCTGGTCGCTATGTTCACAAGCGCTTCCAGAAGTTTCATGCCCACTTGTTGAGCGTCTTTGCAACCACCTCATGTCACGTGGCCGCAACACCGGCAAGAAGCTCCTTGCTATCCGCATTGTTGAGCACGCTTTTGATATCATTGCTCTCTCTACAGGCCAGAACCCAATTGTCACATTTGTCAAGGTGTTCAGTACTGCGGTGCTCGCGAAGACTCCACACGTTTTGGTGTTGGTGGTACAGTCCGTCGCCAAGCATGCGATGTCTCTCCACTCCGCCGCAATTGATCAGGCTCTCTCCTTGACACAGAAGGTGTTCGTAAGGCAGCCTTCCGCTCCTCCCGCAACATTGCCGAGTGCCTTGCCGACGAGCTCATTGCCGCCTCAAACAACGACCAGACATCATACGCCTGCCGCAAGAAAGACGAACTTGAGCGCATTGCCAAGTCCAACCGTTAAAGTTTCTTTTTTATGATATATATATATTAAAATCATACAAATTATAATCAAATATGTTAATTGCTCTTAACAAGCAAATTAACTTTTTTCATCAAACTATATTATTTATTATACTTTTTTTTAATTTTTTTTAAATAAATAAAATATTAAATCTTAAAATTCAATTAATATCTTATCAACCCATATTTTAAATATTTCTACAATATATTTTTCTTATTTTTGGATATTCATTTTGCTATTGTTACAAACTCAAAATGTTTTTTCTCAATATTCATTTCCACATTTGAGGTAAAATCATTATTTAAAACAGGGTTATCCAAATTTAATAAAAATTAATTTTATAAGATAACAATTTACCAGTTTTTCTTTAATTCACCGGTTATAGGATTATACTGATTTGAGTTTGATGCATGGTAAATTCGCTTTGCTCTTGCTTCGCGGCGCATTGTTTTTTGTGTATCTTGTGTCATGAGCATTGTTCCACGCTCTGTTGTTGTATCTGGTGCTGCATTTGTGACAGGATTATATAAAACAGACTCTTCGTTTAAATCATGCTTTCCATTTACTTCAGATCTCTTTTTTTCATCTTCAGCTTCTTGAATTCTTCGTGCTTCAATTGCTTTTTCATATTCTTCTTGTTTGTTTTTGCCTGTGTGCTGCTCGTTTCCATGTCATATCGTAGGCCGCTTGTTTTTGAGCTTTTTGATCTGCAATATAATCTCTGTTAAAACCGTTCCGCATCATTAATAGCATATGATGCTTTTGGATCGGGTTTAACAAGATCATCATATTGTGGATATCTTCTGAAAACATTCATGACGCTGAGCAAGTCTTTGTTTTTCAATTTGATCCCTATCTACTGCAGATACCTTTTGATCTCTGCTCCTGGCTTGGATCTGTTGTACTTGATATGAGTATCATCAAATTCCATGTAACGTATTTAATTTATTTATTATCCGACCATACAAATCATATCGTTAAATTCTTCCATCTTTGTGATTTTTTCAATTTCTTGGCCTATCCTAATTTAAACTTCAGTTATCTCACTCTTCAAAACCTTTGTATATATACGAACAATCTTAAATGAGGAATTAAGGGTGCACCCGCATGTACGTTTATTTGAGAGGAGGAGGATTACCCTCTCAATTTTGAAAGCTTCGTTAACTTAATATCTCGATGAATATTGGATTAAAATTGAATTTGCCCATACCAATATATCTGATACAATACCTTAAGTTTTACTAAAAAGAATTTTTAAAATCCCTGCAGATTCGGGATTTTTAAATTTTTTGATTTTTTTGGAAAAATTTTTCGGAAAAAAAAGTATTTTCAGAAGAGCCTTAACGGCTAAGTTTTATGTTTAATGTTGAGTATCAAAAAGAATGGGCATCTGATATAGCCATCATATATCCAGAAGCAAATAAAATTCTGACTTTTTAAGCATAAAAAATGAAATTTTATATTTTGCAAAAAACAGGCCACTCGGATGTACGTTTATTTGAGAGGAGGAGGATTAAATTTTGAAAGCACTAAAATTTGTAAATATGCTAGTTATATAATAATATGCATTATTTTAAAAATAAAAAATTAAAGCACGTTAAAATCTTTTTTGATGAATTTTTACAAAAGCTACTCAGGATAATGCAAGATATGAGTAGTTAAACATAATTTCAAATCAGATTTTACTTATAATAAATATTTTAAATTTCCGAAAATTAAGTTCAGATCGACTCTATACGTTAGTAAATACTAAATAAGGTGCCAAAAACCTATTAAATAGTATCAAAACTATCAAGATTGTAATGTTTTTGAAAAAAAATTATAAGAATTATGGACTTCAAACAGATATTATGTAAATAAAAATAATATAATGAATTTATTTATTCGTATAATAGCAGTAATAAGTCGATTATTCACTTCTACTTCTGAGATTTGAATTTAATTTCGACAGAAAAAGAGATTCAAGAGGAAAATACTAGGGGATACAAACAGCCACCATGACAGGATTATTATGGAGCCAAGTTGTATTTTTGATATTTTTAGAGTTTTCCTACCTATTTAGGTACCAAGTTATTGCTTAAAAATTAAGGTTCTAAATTCTGAAGTTTACATGATCCTCCCGGGCGCACCCTTAACAAAAATGCAGATTGATCAATAATTTTTCCCCTTCAATTTATTTTTCCACCAAAAAATTAATTTGCTTCATGGATATTAAGTATAAGATCTTATGGAAAGCTACAAGAATTACATCAACATTTCAGATGCAATATATAAACTGGGAACATTCAATGAAAATGAAAGAAACAAAGTTTACAATGAAAGCGAATTAAATCAAATAATTGATTCCATTGGAATTCCCCCATCTCAGTTTTTCAAAATGATAGAAAACGCAATGAAATACAATAATCGATATTTCAGCTCATACTTATTATTACTTCGAAAATTATCAAAAGTTTCTGATCTTAAAAAAGAAGATATTCTTACAAATTATGAACAAGAATATGATTTATTGTTTGATAAATCAAAGAATACAATATTGAAAGTAATAATGAACGATGATTTATCATCTTTTATATTTTGGGAGAACACGACGAATTTGATGAAGCACAAAAAATAAATAGCAATTTATTATTTCCAAGCCAGCAGTTGGATCTAATCCAATTATGTTGTTACTATGGATCAGTTGATTGCTTTAAATTATTATTGACAAAATATGATACATATATCTCTCAAGATTGCCTTAGTTTTCATTTTTGGGAGGAAATCCTGATATAATGTATCAATGTTTGAAAGTACAATATCCTGATGAATATTGCATGAGAAATGCTATTGCATCGCATAACATTGATTTTATTACTTTTTTAATGAATGAATACAACAAAGGATCAATTTAATTACATGCGCTGAGTTTAATAATTCTTCATGCATTTTTGTTTATCTTGATCAAAATAACAAAATAAAGAAGACGTCGACACATGTTTTGTCGCCTCTTCTCTTTTCAACATTCCATCTCTTTGTGAATATTTCCTCTCACATCATGCTAATATTAATGCAACATATTATGTAACACAGCGATAAATTGGGCAGCACAATATGAATGCAATAAAAACAGCAGAGTTTCTTATTAGACGTGGAATTGATATCAAAAAAACGGATGTAATCGGATGCACACCTCTTCATTGGGCAACTATAAAGAAGAAGAAATCGAAATGATGAAATCCTAATAAAAAATGGTGCAGATATTAATGCAAAAAGTAAATTCCAAAAGACTCCACAAGAAATTGCCAAAGAGAATAATCTTGATTTGGAGTCGATCCGTAGAACAACTGGCGTGAAGCATCATTAAATATTAACCTTATATAAAAAGTACAAATTTCTCGCTAACAAGGCAAAAAATTCACAAAATTTTAATTATAATGTTTAAGATTTATATATATATCAAAATACTGTCTTTTGCATTGACATCTCTGGGAAAATTTTTGACTAGTCGTTTTCAAGATCTCGAAAACTTTTTTTTAACAAAGCTAAGCGACATTTATTTACATAATAGGTATACATTGCACCTGGTTCATCGAATTTCTACCATCGGATTTTTCGTGAGACCACTTTTTTTTATAAAAAAAAACTGTGGGTGTTTTAAAGGCAACTTTACAGACTGCCACTAGTTTAGCCAATTTAGATTTCAGAGCAGAAATGAAGCAGTCATTGAGACCATTCCATTCTACTTACCCAGTTTGTAAATATATTTGTAAACTTCCGTAAATTTCAAAAACAATGATTAGTTCCTTTTTGCTTTGATGAAAAAGTGACACGAATTTTAAAAATCGCTGAATGAGATATGAGTTTCACGATGTTTTTTTCCACCAAA